AATAAGTCCCTTATGAGAACATAAATGTGTGTCCTTCTAATTGGCTAATCTCAAACTCATGCATAAGACCAGGTATGTTTTTTGGTCTACCTGGATGGGAAAAGGAGTGGTCTGCATGGCCGTGTCCTCTTCTGAATAGGCTAGAACTGTCCTCAAGGATCTTCTCAGGTGCTCTTCATTAAAGTCTGGTGCTTTGCCCACCAAAGATGCCAGAGATATGGTTACTTGCATCTTTACTCTCGCGAGGTTCTGCATCAGAAGGGATGACACAAACAAGAGACAGTTCGCAAATAATTGAAGGCAGCAGGGTCAGACAGAAACAAAACAAAACCCCAATGTTTCTTTTATTTCAGTCTTAATCATTTCCTTTCCTCTCAATAAACTGTGAGCTACGCTTTGTACAAGATTCACATTATTGTCTAACTAGGTTGAGTGGATGTTATGCTCACATAAATCTGTCAGGCTCCCTTTAAATTTCCATTGAGTCTGGACTACCTCCATGCTGGACATCTTGTACAGTTGGTCACAGATATATCCTTTCATGCCAAGAGTTTCTTCTTGGAACTTGCAAAGAGGAATGTGCCCAGGAAAGTGAGCCAGCACTTTTGAGTTGTTGGATTTAAAGTAGATGGGAATTTTCTGTGTTTCCTTTCTTTCCAGAACTATGGAAGAACATGGCTACCCAAGGGTTGATGGATCACGTCCTATAGGCTTTTAAACAATTAGTCCCAATATAGTTTGAGGGCGAGGGCTTCTTCTTGGAACTTGCAAAGAGGAATGTGCCCAGGAAAGTGAGCCAGCACTTTTGAGTTGTTGGATTTAAAGTAGATGGGAATTTTCTGTGTTTCCTTTCTTTCCAGAACTATGGAAGAACATGGCTACCCAAGGGTTGATGGATCACGTCCTATAGGCTTTTAAACAATTAGTCCCAATATAGTTTGAGGGCGAGGGCCAGGGGTGTAGCTCAGTACTAAAGTAAGTGGTTAGTATGTTGGAGTCTTTGGTTCGATTCCCAGAAGCATTCAAACAACGCAGACAAAAACAAGACAAAGCAAAATAAAACCTTAAGGAGACTGAATTCCTTTTGTGGGTCAAGTTATCTTTTTTTTTTTTTTTTTTTTTTTTTTTTTTTTTTTTTTTTTTTTTTTGGTTTATTTGAGACAGGATCTCCCTGTAGCCCCAGCTGACCAGGAAATTGCTATGTAGACCACACTGGCCTTGAACTCACAGAGATCCACTTGCCTCTGCCTCAGGCCAATTTATCTTTTAATATAACAAAGATGCTCACTAATGTGACAAGAAGTAGAAATCCAAAATGTATGTACCTAACTACGTACAAACTAAATCAGAGGTTTGCTATTCTACCACAGAACAACTCCAAGAACTTCTAAGTTCACTTAAAATTGAGGTCTGGATGACAAGGACCACTTACAATTCTCCTCCTCCACAGTTTGCCCTGGCACCGGTCAGAACTGGAACCAACTCAGACTTTACAAGCAGGGCACACTCTCCTGAGTCCTTAACCTGACTGCTGTGTTTGTCCCATATACAATAATTTTTTTTAATCTAAATATTCCTTTGTGTCTTAGACTGCTGGAAAGCACTGCACTCTCCAGGGCTGCCAGTCACTTTCTGAGTGCCCACCTACAGATTCACAGGTTTCTTTCTCACAGGGAAGACATAAAAGGCCACACTGAAAGCTTCCCTCTCTTCCAATGCTTTGCATTTATGTTCTCTCCTGACTCCGGACCCCCCAGCTGGTCTGAGCTCTTACACTGGTGGCTCCAAAACTGAAGCGCATGAGGAGGTAGAGGGTGGCACAGGCTTGGCTCCGCGTGACGTCTATGCTGCTGCTGCAGTGGTGCAGCACTCGCTGACACAGGTCCGCACACTGCTCCACCTCCTCCTCAAACAACAAGTCTCTGAACTAGAAGAGATACAAGGGACCATCAGGCATCACTGGCACTTTCATAAGCTCTCTGGATGTCTGCTGTAGCAGGAAATGTCTGCTCAATCAAACAGAAAGCCTGGAAGAATTAACGCACTGCTCATATAGAAAATGAGCTGCATGAGTCAGAGGATGGATGTAAGCAATGACTTCCACTTAAGCTTTAATTATGAATCACACAACTGAGGTCGGGGCTATGCTGTTAACTTCATTGTTAGCCAAGCTGCAGTCACCGGTGAAGTCACAGCTTTGAAGGAATTATGAGTTTCATAAGTTCCTTGGAAGTTATTGGTGACTAAGAAAGAGAAAATTATTATAGCAGTGGACAGAAATCCACTTTCTAAATTTAAAAGATTCTGTGTAGAAGGCAGTCAATAAGATTTTTCATAAAGGAGGGAAAAAAAGCCTAAATAGACTACTAATCAACGAGCATTCTCAGGCATCAGAAATTAATTTTTAAACCTCCTATCACAGGGCAGGTAGTTTTGTCAGGAGTCACGTACAGGATTTAATCTCACTCTGATAGGGTATTAAAGAAAAGGGGAGAAAGTGCAGTTTCGCAATTGATTTTTGCTATCACGTCACAGGTTTTTAGTGAGTGGTCATTTGGAATTTCTATAGTTAGGGCCACACTTCAAGTATGAAAGTCACTGTTTGGCTTCCCACAGTGACTCCCTGAGAACCAGTGCATCTACTTTCTTCCTAGGAAGAACGAAGACTCCTTCTCCGTGCCACTTAATACTCCCCATGGATTTTGGTTGGGTGCAGAGGTAAGGGAGCTATATGAAAATCCTGCTCTTAAGAGAAAGAAAACAAGTATGCCGTGTTTACCTTGGCAATGAGGGCTCGAAGTGTTGCAAAGCAGTGAGTCAGGTAGGTGGTGCTCTGATCACAGCTCAGAGAATTCACCAGGACTCGCAGGACACCTCCCAGCAGGCTGTCTTTACAGTCCAGGGCTGAACTTGCCTGGGGGATGGAAGAACACCATCACTGAATCCCTGTACTGTGCTGGTAAACAGAAGGCTGAAGGTAGAGAGGCTGCTGCTGGGGAGCTTGGTGATCTGGTTCTGCCATCTTCTCAGTCGAAGGTCGTAAGGCTTTGGAGAGCACCATTTATATCACCCATTAACAAGCACCAGAGCTTAAACTCTATTTCCCAGTGACTTTATTTCAAAACTAATTGATTTGTGATTTGTGCCTAATTTTGGAATCCTAAACAAAATTCTAAGGCACACCTCCTTCCAGCCTGGGCTAAACTTTTGGAATGTTCTTTCTTTTTATTATAAGGCATGGCTTTCCTTGAGTACTGCAAAACCAATTGCAGGCTTCCCAGTACAATGGTGCTGCTGGGTGACAGCGATGTTTCTCAATAGTGGCCTATTTATCAGCTATAGAAGGATTAACAAGGATAATAACAAATATGTTTCATGCTTCAGCTTTCTGAGGAAACTGCAAATCATTTTGAGGCCTGGCGTCAGGTATATAGCACTCAAAGGTCTCTTGTATAAAGATACCATGGATGAAATGCCAAGCATTTCAATGATCAAAGCTAGGAAAATCTCAGAGATACCTGAGCCATCCTTGGATGCTCAGTAACCTTATAGAAAGTGGGTAAGATTTGTATAGAACCCACACAATCCTCCCATGAACTTAAATCATCCTAGATTACTTATGGTACCAAACACAATGTAAACACTATGTTGCTATACTGTATTGTTGAGGGAATAATCATGGGAAACCTAAAAGTGTTGTATATGTTTAATATAGATGTATTTTTTTCCTAAATATTTTCCATCAATGGTTGGTCAAATGTGAGGATGTAGAGCCACTGGATATGGAGGGCTGACTGTATTTTTCTACAGCAGGAATGGCAAATTCATGTGATAAATGACTGTCTTTTAGCCATCTGAGACCAAAACAAATATCATTTATCACACTTAGCTCTGTGTTTTGTTTTTTCACCTAGTGTAGTCATAAAGTTCCTGTGCCAGCCCGTGACCATTATCTAACCGGAATTGACTCATCAGGAGAAACCTAGTTGCCATCCTTGTTCCAGATGTTAAGAAAAAGCCCACCAGCCACTTTATAAACTTGGCATGTATTTGGGTTAGTTTAACCTTGAGAGTTAGCTCATCAAACACCCAACTTTTTCCAAGGGAGTTCCAAGTCCGAGAAGCCAGAAGAATGTGGGGTGTCTCTGGAATTTGTATGTAAGGTGGCTGTTGTGAATAGTAAACTTTCCCCATTTCTGTTTTAAAAAGGCATTTTGGCTGAGTGTGCAGGCACATGCCTTTAATCCCAGCACTTGGAAGGCACAGGCAGGGGGATCTGTGAGTTCGAGGCCAGCCCAGTCTACATAGTGAGTTCCATGCCAGCCAGGGCTACATAGTGAGACCCTGTCTCAAAAAGCCAGGGAGAAAAAAAGCACTTTGGAATCATATTTACTTTTTTCTCAGTTTTGAATAAAGAATTCCCTTTTAGATTCCAGGAAACATGTTCATTAACAGATCAGAGGAGGTGTGTGTTTTCCTTACCTGGATAATGTTTTCCTGCATATCCAGGATGATTAAATTTGCTTCTGTAGCCAAATTGCCACTAATCAAGGCTTCTTGATCTAATTCTGCCTTTGTTCTAAGAAAAACACAAGAGGAGGTTAGACTAAAGCACAATCAGACTTGGCCAGGTTCCCATGACGCCAGCCTATGCACCAGGTCATGAAGAATTGTTCGGTACAGTCAACCATGAAATAACAATGAAGCAGCTGGCCTCAAGGTAGCCAAGGGCTGCAGGTGTTTCCTGAGGTTCATGTCTGTGGAAAGACTGTCTAGTGAAGTCTCCAGGTTATCCCCATCCCCACTACTTAATAATGATGCCAATCATAAAAATAACAAAATAGGTACAGAAGCAATTATTTGTTGCTACTAACAATTAGGTGAGTCTATCAGATGGTTGCCTGAAGCCTCAGGGCCTCTGCAGTTCATGCGTGAGAACTAGCTCAGGATCAGAGTGAGGGGAAGCCCCTGCAACATTTTCACCACCCAAAGAAAACCACTACTAATATTTTAGTCAATTTCCTTCTAGGCTTTTATAAACCAGCTTCTATGTGTAATTAGAGATTTGAGACTATGCACTGAAACCAAGGGTCTGCTCTACTTTTGTTCACTTACCGATTCACAAACATTTCTCCACGTCATTTAAATAATTTCACAACATTTTAACAACCTCATATTTTGCTATATATTTCCCTATTCTTGAGCATTTATGATGTTTCTAATTTTTTTTTTTTTTTCAGAGCTGAGGACCGAACCCAGGGCCTTGCGCTTGTTAGGCAAGCGCTCTACCACTGAGCTAAATCCCCAACCCCATGTTTCTAATTTTTTAACAACAAAATATAAGGCTGACATATTCCATATAGCCCTGAATATCTCTGATTGTCATCCCCCCCCCCATTTTCATAATGAAAATATAAATTTGGAATTGTGTGGCTGGGCACCCGGTTCTGTTTCTTCTGCTCCTTCCCAGTCACTTTCATTAGCTACCTGAGGCTGCTAAACACCAGGACTCTTTCTTTAGGTCCTTATCAATGGATTCATATAAGAACTCCTTACAGGTCTGAACACCGTGGGTCACTAGAGCCTTATTTACCGACACTGATGTTTCCTTTTCTTATCCTTGGAAGGATGCAGCTGTCCCAGTAACACAAGTAGCCTGGGAAAGACAGTTGAAGGCTGTAAAGGAAAGCAGCAGAGAGCTGCTGAGTGACTCACTTATCTAGCTTCTCATTAGCTTGCCACAAATGTGTCTGCTCTTTCCTCCATCTCAAATTTTCATTTAGGCCTGGAAATCGGTCATTCCCTAGGAGTTAAGAAACGCATGACAGGATTTCGATTAGCATGAAATTTGGCAAGATAACCAAAAGTTCAGTCCCAAGCTTAACTGGGAAGACTCAACACATCTCCTGTTAATTAGAGCCTGTGGCTGCTGCAGAGACAAGGCTGCCATGCCTGTGTGTGTGGTAGGCGGCTCCCTGATGGACTGACTGGAGGCAGCTCTGGAAGGCATCTTGCCTTTCCAGGGCATCAGGGTCATATTTCCCAAGAGCAGGGGCTCTATGAGGCTCTCCTGGAACTGCTCGGAAGGAGGGCATGGCATTGTGTGAAAGTACTGACCACTACTGAAAAAGCTGAGCTCCCTCCCAGGTGCCACCATGTCCCTGCTTTCCTAGCAGCACACAGAGCAAGACTGAGGGTTCCTGGCATTTCAGGGTTTTAGTGATGAACACAGACACGTGGGATGCATACGGGCCTTAGGAGGACAGAACACGAACACTGAAGCTGTTTGGGGGGAAACAACTTCTATTATTTTTTTTTTCTCATTTTTTGGTCTTTTGGAGACAGGGTCTCCCTGTAGCCCCAGCTGGTCTGGAACTCAGTATGTAATATAGACCAGGCTGACCTTGAACTCACATAGATCCACCTGCCTCTGCCTCCCAAGTGCTAGGATTAAAGGCGTGTGCCACCCTGCCTGGCTACAACTTCTAAATAGCACCTTGAATGATGACTTTGAGTCCAGAACTGTCCAGTTTGTTGACCATGTCCCCTCCAGAAACCTCAGCCTTGAGGGAGACACTGCCCACCTCATCCATTAATTTCTTGAATGTGACCTTTACTCATTTTTTTTTAAATTAAAACGTGGTATTTGGGGACATTTTCAGGATAATTAGATCTTACAATAGTGACTCTTGCCCTCAAAGGTAGAGAGCAAACATTCTAAAAGTCCTGCACGGGATCCCAGAACCTGCTGCTGTCCCAAAGGAGTGATGCCCTAGGACTTTCTTTCCCACAAAGGGAACTGTCCTGTCTGGGGGTCGGGGGGTAAGGGGGTGTGCTACCCACATACCTGGAGTACGACGGCGCATCATCTCCCCTCGGGCCCCTTCTCCACGGAGCAGGGCCTCTTCCAGTCTGGCTTTGACATCCCTCGACTTCTGCAGCACTTGGTTACTGACTTTGTCAGAACTCTGCTTTCCCTGGAAGGACAGAAGCAGGAAGACATTTGGTTCGGTTAGATCTCTGTTGGTGGAGAGATTCATCAAAAGAGGACACTGCAGGTCATGTCGGCCACTTTTGACTTGTACTGTACAGACATTTTTCTGGGGACTCCTATGCTGAAGCTTTGTTAATAGGAATGTGTGCACTGCAGAAGGCAGATATCCTTTCCCTGTGGAATGATCATGTATGCAAATAGGCTGTAGATTTAAATATAGAAGTGTGAAGAATTAATAATGCTGCTATTTGCCCAAAGGAAAAAGTGACAAGACAGGATTGAACTTGGGAGATAAGGGTTGTTTACAATTGAGACACCCCATACTTACCTTGTACTCGAAACAGGAGACACAGATGAAAAGCAGGTCTAGAATCCTGTTCAGTTGCATGGAAGGTAGGTCAGCAATCCACTTCCTAATGAGGCTCTGATCGGCATTTTTCATGATCCAGAGGAAGCAGATCATGAGGTTGCGGGTGGTATCTGCGTTCAGCATGTTGTACTGCTTATAGGGCTGGAAGGAGGCAAATTGAGGTGGGGGGGCATGGTCAGGCAAGAAAGTCAAGAAACAGAAACACTGAAAACTTAAAGGATAAGAATCTCTTAGAACATAGTAGCTACTGCTTCCTCGGCTGGGCATTCACTTTCAGTAGTCCTGTCTTCCC